CTCACATATTCCAGGGCGCCATTGCAAAAAAGCTTTCCATAGCATCAAAAACATGATTTTGAACTTTTGCATAGGGATTCAGATAACAGTTGTGATTATATGCAACACAATATGTCTCCTTCCCAGATCTTTTCTTATCTTAATAATCTTCTGCAAGTCATTGTTGAAAAGTTTTAAACAAGAACCAAATGTGGATACTAATGGCAATGTGATATCAGATTTGGATCAAGAATATACGCGTTATGTCCTACAAGTTGAAGCGGAAACGAAGCTTTCAAAGAGAATATTAAGAAATGCCCTCAACTCCATGACTCGACTTCTTCATGAGTCTGAAGAGAAAGAGCCAAGTAATCTAATCAAACTTCTCAAGAAATCTACAGGATTCCATGGAGTTTTAGAATTCGATAGTGATCAAGTTCCATCTTCACATCAAGAAGAAACCAAGAATTGTTGGAGCCTAGTTGTAGTAACATTAACAGCCATTTCCATTTCCCTTCCTAACATTGCAAGCATCCATGTCAAAGAGTTACTTTCCAGTATGAGAGAAGGGCTACAATTTGTAATGCATGTAGAAGAAAGCCTCAATGTGAATAGTGACTTGGTAAAAGCAAGAAAAGCAGCTAGACGAATGTGGACAGATGTTGAGGTGTACTCTAGGTGGCTACAAACTGATCTTCAAAAGAAGGCTCGTGAAGGAAGAACATCAAAGGATATTCTTCAGTGGTTGGGTGATGAAGCAATAAAAATTGTGATAGAGTTCATGAGAAGAAAAAATGGAATTTTGGATCATTCACTTCGCAAGTTCATTGCTGCAAATTCCATGTATAGAATCAGCCAAACAATACTACTTCACTGCAATACGCAAGAAAATTGGCCAAATGATGAGGGAATTTTTGAGTTTATATCAAGTATGATTGCAGATATGTTATCCGCTTGCTTTACCAACTTACCACGTGTCATAGCTATGAAGTGTCATGATGATGCAATAGAGAAAAGGGAAGAGAGTATCCGGACTACAACACGGGTTCTTGGTAAGTCCAAAAAGATACTTAAGATCCTTAAAAAGCGCCAAGTTCCTAACTTAGATTTTGAATCCATGGCATATGTTGATAAGTGGCATGCATTACCCAAGAGTCACATACACAATTGTTGTTCTCCTTCAAAAAGGATTCAATTACCGGCTTCTTTAAGTTCTAATCAATCATTGGTAGTAACTATTATGTAGTAGGTTTGTAGATGAAATAGTTGAAATTTTGTTATATTGAGAATAATGTAAAATTACATTGTTTTATATTAGGATTTAAGGAGTTTACTTTAGGTATTTGTATGTGTAGATGAGTGATAGTGGTGGATACCATCCATTGTGTACTGTATATTTTTTTAAGGTTGGTACTTTTAATAAACTTTGGTTGAATGAAAACAGAATGCCTCTATATGTGATGAGATTCAACATAATGTCATTAATTTCGTTTATATAGAATACATTCATAAAAGATTTATTTAAGGATATTCACAAAAAACATGATTATTGATCATTTAATATAGTAATATAATTTTTTGGTAGTTATCAAAATGATTATAATGTCCGAAATATTGCACTAGTATTTAAGACCAACATAATTTTGGTTTGAGAATGTCACTTAGACATGTAAGATATGTGATAAAGAGTTTTGGGATATGATATTTCACACCTTATATTTCATATTCCTCTTATGACAGATACATTTTGGAAATTTAGAATCTGATCATTTCGAAATAACAATAACATGTTTTTTGAAATATTATATTTTGGGCTCAGAAATAGTAGACAACAACTAGCACCTAACAATTTTTTAAAGAAACTTAACAAAATCGAAGTAGATTTTAATACAATGGCATAAAAAAGTGTTATTTATTTGAATACCCAATAATAATATATATATATATTTTTGGTAAGAACTAGAGATAATTTTTTGGTAAGTGTTCGACGCAAATGAGATAAACTTGGAAATTATATACATTCAAAATCCAAAATGGAACCATTCTTCACAGGGTGGTTCTCTATGTGAATCCCAAAAATTAGGCCATTTACTTTAATACTCAATTATCATATTGTATTTTTGTTAACATCCCTTAAATTTGGACTATCAAAGTGAAAATAAAAGAAATAAGAGATTAAAGCTGCAGATTAAGTAATAGTTGAAGGACCAAAAAGTATAAAAATATATAGTTCATGGTTATTTTTAAAATCCATTCTTTTTCTACCACATGTTGCACTTTGCTATGCAGGATTACAAGTGTCACACCGTCACCGCTGTGAGTTATCGGTTTAGAAAAGTGCCGCAGCTGCATGCTCTGTACGCAACCCTTTGTTCATGTTCAAATTCTGAAACCCAAATTAAGGATTAACCCTCGAAACCTTTCAAGATAGTTGTGGGTAAAATTCCCCCCAAAAAGCAGAGATGAATGCAATGACATTGCAAGTTGTATCCCCTGTTCCAACAGACATAGACATCGCAAATTCGATTCAACCTCAACACATATCCGCCATTGCCAGAAAGCTCAACCTCAATCCAAATCATTACGATCTCTATGGAAAATACAAGGCCAAGGTATGTGTTTTCGTGTTTGTGTTTGATTTCAAGGTGCCCCAATCTCTCTAGTAATGCACTCTAACTCAATATTTGGATATCGAAGTGAATTGATTCATGGTTTACCCCATTCAATTGCGATAACTAGGGTTTAGTCTGCTTCAAATCTAATGTGGATGTTTATTTAATCACTGAATCAATTGGACATTGGTCATGGGTTTTAAGTTAATCAACCACAACCACTGCAACCTTCAATTTCACCGATAGATTCACATTACAAATTCCTTCATTTGCTTGATAATCGTATCAATTTTGCATCTGAAATTGGCCAGAACTGAAGCGTTAATGATGCTATGATTTTGTTTTAATGAAAATGTTAGGTTTTGTTGCCTGTGATTGACGAACTCAAAGGACAAAAAGATGGGTTCTATGTCGTTGTCGGAGGAATAACACCAACTCCTCTTGGAGAAGGCAAATCCACCACTACTGTTGGCCTCTGTCAAGCTTTGGGGGCGTTTCTTGATAAAAAGGTGTCACTTTTTAACTTTTAGTTATTTCCTGCTATTTTCCCTTAATCTTATTGTTATTGAAATGTATTTTAGAAAAGAAACACTTATCATTCTTGATTGTCACCGGAGGTGTAGGTGGTGACCACCCTAAGACAACCATCACAAGGGCCAACATTTGGCATCAAAGGCGGTGCAGCTGGCGGTGGTTACAGCCAGGTGATCCCAATGGACGAATTTAACCTCCATTTAACTGGCGACATCCATGCCATCACCGCTGCAAACAACCTCTTAGCCGCCGCCATTGACACCCGAATGTTTCACGAGTCAACACAATCCGATTCCGCCCTTTTCAACCGCTTATGTCCACCAAACAAACAAGGTAACCGAATCTTCAATGATGTCATGTATACGCGCTTAAAAAAACTCGGTATACACAAGAAGCTTCCGGAAGATCTTACACCCGAAGAAGTCAAACGATTTGTGAGACTCGATGTTGACCCGGACACGATTACATGGCGTAGGGTTACGGACGTAAATGACCGGTTTTTAAGGAAAATTACAGTCGGACAAGGGGTGGATGAGAGAGGGATGGTGAGAGAAACGGGGTTTGATATTTCGGTTTCTAGTGAGATAATGGCGGTTTTAGCCCTAACCAATTCTCTATCCGACATGCGGGCCCGCCTCGGGAGAATGGTGATTGGGAATAGTAAATCTGGTGAGCCCGTGAGTGCGGATGATCTTGGCCTTGGAGGGGCGTTATCGGTATTAATGAAAGATGCGATAAATCCGACGTTAATGCAAACTCTTGAAGGGACCCCGGTGTTTGTTCATGCGGGCCCATTTGCTAACATAGCTCACGGGAACTCGTCGATTGTGGCGGATAAGATTGCGTTGAAGTTGGTGGGGCCCGGTGGGTTCGTGGTTACGGAAGCAGGGTTTGGATGTGATATAGGGGTTGAAAAGTTTATGAATATAAAGTGTAGGTATAGTGGTTTGAGACCTCAATGTGTTGTTATTGTGGCGACTGTTCGAGCTCTTAAGATGCATGGAGGTGGACCGGCTGTTGCCGCCGGGAAACCGCTTGATCGGGCTTATGTTAGTGAGAATGTCGGTCTTGTGGAAGCCGGTTGTGCCAACCTGGCGAGACATGTGGAGATTGTGAAAGGTTATGGGGTGAATGTCGTTGTGGCGGTGAATAGGTTTTCGAGTGATACGGATGCGGAAATAGCGGCAGTGAGGGCAGCGGCGTTGGCGGCGGGTGCTTATGAGGCTGTTGTTTGTTCTCATTTTGCACATGGTGGAAAAGGAGCGGTTAGTCCGACTCCTATCTTGTATCTCCATTGTATACCTACTGACTAGACAAACTTTCTAGGACTATTTTGGATGATAATAACGAGAATGGGTATTTGCATCTTTTGCATTGACGAAATATCAAGAACGGGTCTTTTCCCCACCTAGTTCCATCTTTTTGGACGAAACAAAAAATTGCAATTTTGTTCCATTGGCATCAGAGTCACCCAATGCATGCCAAACATAGTACAACCCATTATGTCATGTCCTATGTAACAAGATATGACCGGCATTGTACTGTGTTCGGTGTGCATTGTTGAGACTGTGACCGTTGTCGTTGAGACAAATTTGTAATTTTTTGTCTTACCGAAAAGATGTAATAAGGTGGGGTGGACACTCGTTCTTGATATCTCATTTGTGCAAAAGACATGAATGCCCTTCTCATCATTGTCGTCGAAAATAACCCTAAAAAGATTATCCAACCCGATGTAACAAACACAAATACGCATCATTGTAATTTCGTCATGTGATTTTACCAGATTGACCTTGGCGTTGTGGTTCAAAAGGCCTGCGAAAATGCAACTGAGCCTTTCAAATTCTTGTACCCTTTGGACGCAAGCATCAAGGACAAGATAGAAGCGATAGCAAGATCATACGGTGCCAGTGGCGTCGAATACTCCGAGCAGGTAATTAATTCGATACATTTCATTTGTGTTTGACCATGAGGGGCAAACGTGTAAATTCACTTGTGGTTTTTCTTGTAGGCCGAGAAAAAGATCAAAATGTATAGCAAACAAGGGTTCGCGGCACTTCCAATCTGCATGGCGAAAACTCAGTACTCATTTTCCGATAATCCAGCAGCCAAAGGCGCACCAAGTGGATTTGTGTTGCCAATTAGGGATGTGAGGGCGAGTATTGGGGCTGGATTTATTTATCCTTTGGTGGGGAGTATGAGCACGATGCCTGGGCTTCCTACTCGACCTTGCTTTTATGACATTGATCTCGATGTTACTAATGGAAAAGTAAAAGGGCTTTCTTGAAATTTGTGTATGTGTTAGTTAAATGCCTAATTAACTGAAAAAGAAACAAATAATGGCAAAAACAGTCCCTGAATGTTTCTGGATTTGTTGCAAAACCCTTCGACTTATCTTTTATTACATTCTTCTTATTTATGTACATAATATTCGCACCAAATCCACAATATTACCCGCCTACGAATTCACAACCCTGCAATTTTTTCGAATTTCTCCACTCTCCCCCGTGAGGGGGTTCGTATTCCCCATCTTAATCATCGATCTAACGAAATCGTTAACGAAAATCCGCGAGTCATTGCTGTAGATTTCAACTAGGGTTCGTGTAGTCGACACAGCTTCATCACTCGAGTATAGAAATTGATCAGATTCAAGAAGTCCCTTTCCGTTCACCAAGTTTTGAAAGTAATGGTTGTCGAACAAGTCAACGGAATTCCGATCGAGAGCTGTCGTCTTGTTCCCGTCTCCGTTCGCCGGACATTGAGCTTGAAGGTCTGATACCATAGCCTGATCTAATAGCGTCTCATCAGGACCGTTTGTTCCAGAGAAGTTGAATAACCTATTGCTGAACACAGCACACCTCGCCGATCCAATCGTATGCGCACCTTGCAGAGTTTAAATCCAAGTAAGTGAATTCATCAATTCCTAAGTAGATTAATGAAGTAAACCTTTTTGGATCTTGTTTGTGATGAAAAATCGCACCTGATAGGGATACAACATCTGTAAGGTTGAGGCCAACGGCGAGAAACTTGGCGGTGATATTAGCAACGGATTCAGTGGGGCCAGGGAGGTTAGTATTAGCTCCGGACTGATTCGCCACAAGTCCATCTCTTCTTCCTAGTAAGACTTTCCACGATGGCCCTCCACTCTGCAATTCGTATTTCACAGCTATTTTGTTTGAAAAATTCATTTTACATAGGGTTAGGGTTAATCGCCATTGATAATCATGGGCCTACTTACCAAGAGAACTGAATCTTGTGCTGCTATGGCTAGAATGTCAGCACATGAAACTACTCCACTGCATGAGCTTTCTACAGCTGTTTTAATAGCATCAACCACCTCAAATCCCCTAGCAGAATTGATGTTAGGGAAGGCAAACTTCTCCCCATCATTTCCATCCAATAAAATTGATGCATCACAACCCTGAAAGTAGAGTTCTTTATAAGATAGGTTTTTAAATGCTTGGCTTTCACTATAGCTAGTGAAAAGAATAATATGAAACAACTCAGATGTTTATGTTATATTAAAAGAACTCACATTTACAAAGCAATCATGGAAATGAAGCCGAAGCAAAGAAGCAGCCATTCTTGTTTCAGTCTTGATTGCATTTAGCACTTGTTTAAGTACAATGTTGCGAAGATTAGGGCATGAAGTTGAGTAGAAATCCTCAGTTAACTGAGATCTTGCAATTAGAAACAAGATTGACATGGTCATAAGCCATACAAAACCACTATTGCAGTTTAAGTTCTTCATTGTTTTAACTTTCAAGAATCTGTTTTTTACTTCTATATTGAAGGTAAATCTTAGTGATTATGGCTTAACCCTTAAGAAGTTATGGTTTTATATGCTATTAGGAGTGTAAAACTATATTAATATAACAGATTATGTAAGGTGCACTAAGCATAGGATTGGTATAAACTTAATGGTTTAGGGAATTTAATATTGACTGAAATGTTGGATAACTGTGGTTGAGCCAATGAGGTTAATTAGTCGGTAGTAAGCTTTGTGTTGTTGCATCATGGTTATTTTACATAGCTACCACTTTTGTTATTTTAAATGGGGATAACGAAGATGTAGTTATGTTTTTCTATTTCTCTTCTTGTTTTGGCGAATTAATATGAAGTTATGTGGTGCTTACCTGTGGCCTCACTTATCCACACAATTTAGTGGTATGTTAACAATAGATTGTCCAATTAAAATGCATGTCTAAGGTGTTGTTTGATTTTTAAGAAAATTGTCTTTTCCTCTTCTGGAAGACAAACATTACTGTTTGGTTTTTAAAAGACCACAAACATAAATAGAGTACATTCATTGCGTGAAACAAGAACAAGGTACTTATGCTTGTTGCACTAAATAGTGTGATTAGATAGTGGGTTATTGTGTAATTGTAGCAATTATAGTTAGGTGAGTCTTGTAATTGTTTTGTAAGAGGAAGTTGATTGGAAGTAATATGTTAAAAGAATGATGCCCTTTTGCATGTAGTTGCTTCTTTTCAAACTAGTTATTTATGGATTCATGTTGTGATTTTTAAAAATTTTAAATGTGTTTTGAAATTGTTGTCTAAATGGGAGAGAAACGATGTGTTTTTGTAGACAGTAGACTTTTGTTCCACATCTTTTTCTAGTAGATGTTTGAAATAGAAATAGACTACTTGCATTTACATTTTAAAAAACAAACATTACCTAAGTCTTCAAATTTTAACCATCGCATATACTGCTAAATTACGTTCCTAAATCTTAGTAGATAAGTACAAAAGATGTTCCACAACGAGCTTTACACTCAACTCCAAAATCCCACAAATGAAAACTTGAAGAAAATTTATAAAAAAGTGATGTTTTGATCAACATTTGTATACTTCAGTTTTTACTATTACAATTGAATCTCACTCCAAAATCTCTTTCTTTTCACTTTGTAAGATTTCACTGCTTTTTTTTTTTCACACGCATAGGAACCAAACTTTGATCATATCAATTTTTACAAATATAATTATATAGACTTTTAATGTCCTAGTAAGAAAAGTGGAAGTCAATACTACAATGTCACAATTAGATGTGTTTTAAAATATGATAAAAAATCAAAAGCATAATGGTATAATATACAAATGAATGAAATTACATTGCTATTCAGTGGATTTAGCCCTTAAAATTACAAATGAAAGTGGAAGTACAACGACAAAATTAGATATATTTTAAAATATGATTAAAAAAATCAAAAGTATAATGACATAATATACAAATGAATGAAATTAAGTTGTTATTCATTGGATTTAGCCCTTAAAATTTTTATCAACCACATCTCCATACATATCTAGGTCCATAAGTACACATTAAAGCCAAAACCAATAGTTTTAAAGACAAAAGATCCTGATAGCCTCCTACATAACCAGTAGGGTAAATAACATAATAATCACTAACTTTTCACTTTTTTTTTATATATATATATTTTTTTATTTTGACACCTTGTTTTTTTTTTGTTACAAATAAGTTTCTATGTTTTCAATTTGTTGCAATTCTGATAAATTGATCAGTTGACTTCAAGTCGGTTGCACTGTTGGCGTATCGGAAGCAAAAAAAAAAAATGATGCAAAAGACATTATGATTTCAATCTTTTGCGATTTTGATACTAAGATTGCAATCTTTTCTAATATTGGCACTAAGTTTTCAATTTTCTCTAATTTGCAACATAAATAAAATAAATACATGCAAAGACATATACAAAAAGAAACAATAGTTCATAAAAAAAATATCATTCATAATTCATTTTCAAATAACGAAGTTTACCATTAATGGAATTCAAAAATATTACGGTATTTTTTTTTTTTTCATTTTTAAAACAACTAAAACACTCATTTATCATTACTAAAACACTTAAAGGTATTTCATATTAAAAACAGTTATCAGAGTACAATCCCAAAATCTCAAGGTTGCGGAAAATATGAGTGTATACGCTTCGATAATGCCGGGGCATTCCCTTTCGAACCGGAAGTACCTAACAACTGTAAGCACAAAGCTTAGTAAGTTTCTTAAATATCGCATACCATACATACCTACGAGTCATACATATCATAAATATCCAACATTCAATAGGAGGTGTTATGTGCCAATCATAGTTTTGCTATTATTCCGCGAGCCGTATCATGGTCTTCCTTGCCAGGCCGGGGACCAAAACCCTGGTCTTACAGACAAGTTCCAGGTGGTCCTGGTCTTCCATGCAGCATCACAAAGACAACTAGCATACAATCTGCAACTACTTATCTACTAAATTTCCAGAGTCCAAACTCTGGCCTTGCATACAAATTTGCCAGGTGCCACTTACTGGTCTTTCATACAAATACCAAGGTCTCCCCCTGGTCTTCCTATAATACGTAAACAGATAGGGTCGACATTGGTGCCTTCAAACCATAGTATAGTGAGGAGATTCACCTCGTACTGCTGAATCACATTGATAATCCCTGACAGCTGGTCCGACAATCCCCCAACCTATCAATATTAAATAACACCCAATTAATAATTGGAGTCAAATCTATATCTTTTAATCCATACTTAGGGTAAAAAGACCATTTTACCCTTTATCTAGCTTGGCCCAAGACTAAGGCCTAAACCTACAATCCAAAAGTCCCAAACATGGCCCAAAATATCCCATAGTCAACCCTAATCAAACTTCTAGTCAAAGTCAAATTCAACAGTCCATGTTGACCAAACATGCCGTGTTGCCTCTTAACCACGGCGTGTTCCTCCAACATCTAATCAGTCAGGAAAAATCTCGGTCATACGTCGTGTTGGCTTGCCACCACGCCGTGTTCGCCCGGGTTTCAACAACTTAATACATTAGGTTGTTTTCTCCGATTCCAAGAGCTCCTAAGCTCAGATCTTGTGACAACCGTCATATTCTGGTCAATTCAAAGTCAAATAAAGTCAACAAGTCAAACCGGTCAGCTCCACTAACCCGTGTGTGCTTGGACTTACGCTCAGTATTTACTAAACAAGTCGCTACTCTAATAAGAAAACATGAATCGAAAAGTACGTACAACTAGATCTCTTTAACCTAAAAACTGTACTACGTGGCGAGCCAAACTGATAAAACAATGATGCATACTCATCGGGAGTGTGTAAGATCCTTAAACAAGGCTTAACAGGGTTTACGAACCATGCATTGCGATGCCGGACACTCACAATTGTCACACATGGATCCCCTCTCAATCGTTTTCACTCTATCTCTGTCTATGTCAAATCTCTCCTAAATCTCTCCAAGTATGTGAAATCTCTCTCAAATATCTCTCCGTATGAGAAATCTCTCCAAGAATGTCAAATCTCTCCCAAATCTCTCTAAGTATGTGAAATCTCTCTCAAATATCTCTCTGTATGAGAAATCTCTCCAAGAATGTCAAATCTCTCCCAAATCTCTCTAAGTATGTGAAATCTCTCTCAAATATCTCTCTATATGAGAAATCTCTCCAAGAATGTTAAATCTCTCCCAAATCTCTCCACGTATGTGAAATCTCTCTCAAATATCTCTCTGTATGAGAAATCTCTCCAAGAATGTCAAATCTCTCCCAAATCCCTCCAAGTATGTGAAAACTCTCGCAAATATCTCTTTGTATGAGAAATCTCTCCAAGAATGTCAAATCTCTCCCAAATCTCTCCAAGTGTGAGAAATCTCTCCCAAATCTCTCTCAAAAGTTTCCCGTAACTTTTTGGAATCATTCGGGTCATTCCGGCCCTTAACCGGGTCAAAAACGGCTTAAAACGGGGCGAAAACGAGAAAAATAGGCTTTAGGAACCGAAACCGGAATGAGAGGCTTCTTAGGACCAGAGACCGAGCCTCTGGTGGCTAAGAGAACAGAGGCCGAGCCTCTGGTGGCTAAGAGAACAGAGGCCGAGCCTCTGGCGGCTAAGAGAACCGAAACCGAGAGCAAGACGCAGGAACCGAGAGTACTATTCACAACCGAGCGGTCGGTCCCTCTCGGTCCCTCTCGGCCCGTCCCACTCTCTGTTCGCGCCGCACTCTCGGTCCGCCTCCGCCTCTCTGCTCACTCTCTGCTCCGCCTCTCACTCTCTGCTCCGCCTCTCACTCTCTGCTCTCTTCTCACTCTCTGCCTCGCGCGCTCCTCTGTCCCCTCCCACCTCTCGGTTTCTTCCCTCCTTCTCCTCTCCTCTCGGCTCCTTCCCTTCTCTCTTCTTCTTCTCTCGGTTCCGCCTCCCTCTCTCTCTCGGTTCAGCATAAGAGGGCCAAACCTCGGCCAGGCTTCGCATTTTTTGTCATTTTCAGCCCATTTTTGATATTCTTAACATTTTAAGCCCGTTTTTCGTGATTTTAAAGCGGGATTTTCTCCAGAAATTATATTTTAACATAATAAACTCTAAATATTCATAATTTAAACATATTTTGATGAAAATCATTATTTAAATAATAAAAATCAAATGGATGAATTATTAAAGGTGGAGTGTTGACTTTGCCTTATCCAAAGTCACAAGCAACCACCCCACACCCACTCTTTGACTAACCACACCTCTCCACCTTACCTAGGTCACATCAATGTCTTTTCCACTCAATTATCCCTCCTCCCCACGTTTTTGAGGGCTGATTATTCATCCTCTCTCCTCACTTCTCTCATTTGCTCTCATTTCACAAGAAGATCAAACTCTTTCCTCTCTCACTTTCTCTCTCTAGAAATTCGAGATTCAAGGGCTGATCTTGAGTTTTTCCTCCACATTTGGTAAGCATAATCCATTCTCTTTATGATTATCTCATTTATTTCCACTCAAATCATGGATATCTTAGACAAACTCTCTCATAATTGTGTTAGATCTTCGAATCTTCAAGTGATTCTTCAAGTGTTCTTGGGTTGAACACTTTCCTTCTTCAACACTTACCTACTGGAATCACTTAAGGTGAGTTCATACCCCTACATTTTCATGTTTTCTCAAGTTTTCAGGGGGGAATACAAGTTAAAACACTAAGAACATATCTAAATTTTTCTAACAGCCTTCATCAGAAAAGTTCAACTCCATTCACGGACTGTTTTGGGCATCTTAAACACTTTTGTTTTCAAAACTGTACAAGGTGCAAATAGTTCAAGTTTTTAGCTTTAAAATGGCTACTTGCACATCTCCATACGATTTTTCTACAATTTATGGTGATTTTTACAAAACTGCCTATCATTTCAAACAACAATCCGGACCAGTCTGTGATTATGGACTTATTCACCCAAGTTAGAGGTCATTATAAATTGTGATAAAAATTATGAGCAAACTAGACACATTTTGTGAACTCTCAGAAATTACGGATCTAGTTTTCGACTTCGTATGATTTTTCTATGATTTTTCCAAAACAGGGCAGAATTGCTAAATTTTGCCAACAGCATGTAAATATCATAACACTTTGTATTATGTTGAGCAAAGTGTATAATCATAAGTTCTAATATTTGAATGTGTTTCCTTGCTAGTTTATCATTATGAACTGAAACTAAAACATTCATATTAAATATTATTCATTCATTTTGGAACACGTGCTATTAAACTATAAAAAGTATAGTCAATAAATTCACAACACTAATACTTTTCCATAAAAGAGTTCATACATAGTACATACATTTTAGATAAACTATAATAGGTATAGTTTATGATACATCACTCTACGCACTCGTACAAGAAGGGTACATTCATACAAGAAAGATTTCTATTCGCACACATTTCACGTAAATTTATTAAGCTATGGTTCAATAAATTCACAACACTAATACTTTTCCATAAAGGAGTTCATACATAGTACATACATTTTAGATAAACTATAATAGGTATAGTTTATGATACATCACTCTACGCACTCGTACAAGAAGGGTACATTCATACAAGAAATATTTATATTCACACACATTTCACGTAAACTTGTTATCCTATATTGTGAGTTTCTCTATTTTTCTCTCTCTCTCTCTCTCCCCGTACGTCCGAGTGCGGGATATAATTCCTGGTAGTTATAATCAGAATCTCCTTGAGGGAGAACGTGATACTTGTATATAGATCTATATTGGGATTGACACCCCACACCTTGCTGCTAGCTACAGTTGGACCTGCAGGTCTACGGGTGACAAATGTCATTTCATTTTTCGCGACACTGAGAACGTCGTGGCAGGTTCACATAGTCATAGTATGATTATAACGGCTCACATAGGGAACAATCCATAAGTTTACGGGATTTTATTTTTAAAACCTAAATGAGTTTTATGTCGATTTAAAATCACCTTTTATCTCTATGGGTACAAATACAAAGTACCGGGTCTCTATACAAAAAGGGGTACAAATACAAAGTACCGGGTCTCTATACAAAAAGGGGTACAAATACAAAGTGCCGGGTCTCTATACAAAGCTATTATGATATTAAAACTACACTTCCTCTAAAATTGTTAGACTTCAACTATAGTCGCTGAGCGTATATGTTGAGTCATATAAGAATTTAGTCTTGATTGGCCTAGAATTGGTGGTGCCCGCCTCATCTCCTGTTCCTCGTTGGGTTGTGGACCTAGGGCAGACCCACTATATTCAACGTTTTATCTAAGTTAAGCCTTATATAACTTTATATGTTGGACGATTATAGAGGAACTCTACGGATTACTCTAGGGTTCATTACAGCATCATGTAGGATTATTTCTATTCATACTTAACTAAGAAAATATTGGATTTTCTGGAAATCAAACTAAATCGATTTTACAAGGAAAAACGGTTTCTACTTCAAACAAAACTCTTATGAACTCACCAACCTTTGTGTTGACACTCTTTAAAACTACTTGTATTCTCAGGAAATCAGTGAAACAGGAAAACTTCATCGCTTTGAGGATGGGACGCTAAACCGTCAACAAATTATTTTGTCATCATAATGTAATTGCTTTTGAAACATGTAAACATATACTTTAGTGTAACTTTTGCAATTATATATATGGTGGTTGTTTTTACTTTGAGCACTATTATACACGTTGTTATGATACTGTACATGAAGTCCTCCACCCCCAGACGTTTCCGCCATCCTTGGTTTGGGGGTGTGACAGATCTAGTCCTTAATGCGGTCCAAAATTATCCATTGGGACTACCCAAAAAGGTTCAAAACTAAATCCATAAAGTTTAATCAGAGCTTAACCAACAAGCACTTAATCCTTCTAGTTCGAAGTCCATCATTTCCAGAAGTGATTCAAACACCAAAACCATCCCCAAGGTTGGTGCTTTATACACATGTATGTCCAATGCATGTCTTGAACTCGTATTAGGTCAAAATGAGGATTCATGGCCTAATCTCTATACATGACATCAAAACTTGATTATAATCCATATTCCAAACACTATTAACTCCTCTTGACCTGGAGATTCAGATTCATAAAGTTACCAACTTTATGAGGTCTAACCATTCCATCATTCAAGAATAAGAAGATAAAGGAACAAAACTCAAGATCTAACAACTATGAATGATAAAAATCAAGTTTTGTACACTTACAAAGGTCCAGAAGAGTGCCAAGGTGAAGAATAGGGGCTTGCTTGCTTGATATTTGCTTCCTTTCCCCTCCTTCATTCTTAGCTTCAAAAAGCACCAAACTAGTTCTAAAAATGGATGAAGATGATTAGGGTTTCTTTCAGGGCTTGAGGGGTTGATGATGGACAAACCCTAGCCTCCTTATTCCTTTAAATAACGAGCAAAAACCCAGAAGATTAGGGTTTTCATTCCGACCGTCAACACGTCCTATTCCAAGAGGCAACACGTGTTGACCTTTATGAAAATCACACTTCTTATCTATACACGCCGTGTTGGTTCCTCCAACACGCCTTGTCCAATCCTCAAAAGAGGATTTATTCCCAACAATTGTTCCTCAAGATTTTGGGTGTTACAATTAAAGCAATGTAGATATTGAAAACATGAACATATAAATCCCAAAGTACAACTTAGTCATGATCTTGTTCTTGTGACACGTTCGACTGAATCATAAGGTTGTTTTCATTGCGCCTCATTGGTTGTTACAAAGAAATTGAAAATTGAAAGTAGGTTTTCATAACCAGGAACTCTTGGTAAGTTACATAGCTATTTTTTGCAATTAAACCATTTGAAGTGGAACCATAACTTGGACCATGCACAGAAAGCAAAAGAAATAGACATTCTAACCTATAAGATTGATGTAGTAACATATATAAAATCCTGGAATAACATAAAGAGCACCGATCTTGATGGAGCTACCAAGCTGTTTTTCATATATGAAATCATAATACAACATAAGATCGTTAGGTTAGATATTATTAACTGACCAAGACACACTCGATTTGAATGATTTTTTTTTCATCCTTTTAACTTATAGGTTAGGATGTTTATTTCATTAGCTTTTTGTATGTGGTCAAAGTTTTGGTTCCACTTCAAAATGATTATTGCAAAAAATAACTATGTAGGTAAGAGTTCCTAGTTATGGAAACATACTTTCGATTTCAATCGAACATGTCATGGGGACAAGATCATGAATAAGTTGTACTTTGAGATTTAAGTAATCCTGTTTTCAATACCTATATTGTTTTTATGGTAAACATCGTTGTTTAAAAATGAATCAGGAATGATATTTTTTTATGAACCATTGTTTTCTTGTTGTTTATGTTTTTGCATAATGTTTATTTCATTACAAACTAGAAAATACTAAAAACTTAATGTCAAAAGCGCAAAATTTTGAAAATATAGTCTCTTTTGCGTCACTTTTTTCACTTCTGTGCAACGAGACAACACCAACCGGTCAACTTGTTAAAACTGCAAAACATAGTAACTTATTTGTAAAAGAAAAATCATGGTGTGAAAATCTTTAAAAAAAATAAATAAATAAATAAATAAAAAAAATTAATGATCCATCCACTCCATTTAGCGTAAGTAATTCTTCCATTTTCAAGTACCACCCTGGTATTTTGTTGATAGTAAAAGCATCTCTAGAGCTGACAACTTGATTGCCTGATGATAAGTAAAACAGACACTGAAGCTCAATATCCAGCGCCGAGAAATTACAAACGAGCAAAGATATTTTTGGAGCTAGCGATCACCATTCACACACCTTTTTCATGAAGTCAGAGTAATTGTTAGCCAATGATAATGATAAAGTTAGATTTAGGTGGGGTCTGATTTTATCACAACCGTGCAAACTAAACAAGAATTATCGATCAGAATGCTGTGGCGATTATCTCCGATATTTCTCCCTTCCAAATCCAGTTTTTTGTTTAATTCAAAATGGTTTGCTCACTCGACGTAGCAAATCTAGGGATTCGATTCAATCCTTTGCCTCATGTCGATACTACTTTTATCAATCAAAGAAGGATTCGACCTCGCTCTGTAATCGTATTCCCCACATCCGATTGTCTGAAGCATCGTCTTCCCCGACGCATCTCGTGTTCTGCCGTCGACGAAGAGCAGATTCAGCAAACGTTCAGTGATGCTGAGAATTCACTCATCAGTAGTCTCATTGGCATCCAAGGACGTGGTCGCTCTGCTTCTCCTCAGCAACTCAAAGTAACACCCTCTTCCTCTTCTCTGTTTAACTCACTAAATTCTAAGATTATGACACTGCGTATCTTCTCCGATCATCAAATTTGCAATCGCTTATAATCGCATAACATTATATTTCTGAATTATGTAGGAAGTCGAACAAGCCGTGACAGCTCTAGAAGCTACTAAAGGTGTCCCTGATCCTGTAAGTAGTTTAAAAACCCTAACCTCTTTTGAGTTTTATTTATCCGATTCAAGTATGAGCTCAATTCTGCAGACCAGTTCGAGTCTAATCGAGGGCCGATGGCAATTGATTTTCACAACAAGACCTGGAACAGCTTCCCCGATCCAGGTTACATGTTACCGCATCTCCGATGAAGATCCAATGCAAACATTTACCTCCAAAATTAACCAAACCTTCATGATTCTTGTAGAGAACATTCGTCGGAGTCGACTTGTTCAGTGTATTCCAAGAAATTTACCTTCAAACAAACGATCCACGAGTCTCCAATATCGTCAAATTCTCCGATTCAATAGGTGAACTTAAAGTCGAGGTACGCCATTGTCGACCAATTCCTCGCTCTTCACATACGTTCGATTGTTGCGTTTTGACAGTTGACACGATTTAATTGGTTTAAACTCAGGCTGCCGCTGCAATCAACGACGGAAAAAGGATTCTTTTCCGTTTCGATAAAGCAGCATTCTCATTCAAGTTTCTTCCCTTCAAAGTTCCATATCCGGTGCCTTTTAAACTCCTCGGAGACGAAGCAAAAGGTTGGTTAGACACAACATACTTGTCGGAATCCGGAAACCTTCGTATCTCAAGAGGAAATAAGGTAACCCTAGTTCATGTTTCTTTTTATGTTTAAACTCCATGTTCACGAAGGATCAGGATCTACGTTGGTGTAGTGCAGGGGACGACGTTTGTTCTTCAGAAGCAAACGGAACCCCGGCAACGATTGATTTCTGCAATTTCCACCGGTCGTTCAGTGATTCAGGTAACCATTTCAGATCTTCTCGACGAATCTTCGAAGTTTGTTTTCTAGGGAAAAAAAAAAAAAAATCCTAACAAATTTGTATTTGTGCAAGGCGATTGACGAGTTTATGTCGTTAAATCAAACGGAAGACGAACAACAACTCATTGAAGGCGAATGGCAAATGATTTGGAGTTCACAGGTTTTAATTTTATTATATATATAAAATATCAAAAAAGGGTATTTAAGTCATTTCACTAAAAATTAAACAATTTCCTTAAAAAATTATATTTTTTGCAGATGGAAACCGATAGTTGGATAGAGAATGCAGCTAATGGTCTTATGGGCTCACAGGTACAAAGTTCAAATCTAGCTTTTCAAAATTTTAACACAAACTTTTTTTTTTTTTTTTTTTTTGTTACAAATCTTATGATGCTGAATAACTTTTCATTTTTTCTATATTGTATTAATCCAAATTGTTTATTGTGATATTTAGATTGTTAAAGAAAATGGGAGACTCAAGTTTCTTGTTGACATATTGTTTGGGGTCAAATTCTCCATGAATGGAACATTTGAGTAGGTTTTTATCCCAAGTAGTTTCACAATTAGTATCTTAAAAACCCTAAAACTGGTATTTAAATATTTAACTGTAACTTTTTTTTTTTTTTTTTTATGTAGAAAATGTGACACAAATATATATGATGTGATGATGGATGATGGTGCAATAGTAATTGGACCATATGGGCTTCCAGTTGAGCTAATAACCAAATTTAAATTGGAAGTCTTGTAAGACTCAAATCAAAATTTACTATTTCTTTTTTTCTCTTTTATATTTGCATGGTAATTTATTTATTTATTTATTTTTTTTTTGTAGGTATTCGGATGACAAAATCAGGATAAGCCGGGGATACAGCAAGATTCTCTTTGTCCACATTCGTGTTGGAAGTTGATGAAATACGAATTTGTATTTTTATAAAAAGGAAGTTTTTTAAAAAAAAAGATCAAGATACCATATTGCTTGTTTGAGAACTTTGAAGATTTTTACATTGTGATTAAGGAAATGTTAATTCTTTTTTGTTGTGTAGATAATGAGTTGAATTGTAATTAATGGTGTATATGCTTTAACCACAGCTCAATACATATCTTTGTCTAAATTTTAAAATTTTGTCCTGGATTACTACGAAATGTGATTGTTTTTGTGACATTTTGGACAAAATATTCAAACAACAAATGTTTAGTCATCGAAATAATCTGATTATAACTTCATATCACGTGAAACATTTACTAACTGTAAAAAGGGTATGCAACAAAAATGACCTCAAAAGTCGAAAGCATATAGGATATAATAGTAAGATAACGTTATAAGGAATATTTATGTACAAACATTTAATAGTTCACCTATTTTATCATATTTTACTATCATAACATTATTTGGAATATTTACATACAAAGTACAAATATTCAACATCACACCTATTTTATAACACTTTCACGATAGGCGATTAGAATTCAAGGTTTTAAAAACATGCTTAACAGGTTTCCGTGCAGCATAAGGGTGCAATTCTTGACACCATCCATGACATGCCACGAAGATAAATACGTTTGGATTGAGTTTTTCTGGCCCGACAACATGTTTTCTATACTAGTTGTGTTAAGTTTTGCAAATAATTTCACTTGACATGTGAATCTGTTTATTTTATTAAATTAAAAAAAATTATAAATATATTTATTAGAAAGGAAAGCAAATAAAGATTAATAACTAAATATGTGATATTCAAATATCTTTTCCCTTGATCGGTTTTGCCCTAGGTCTAAATCATATATTAAGTGTTTACGTTATTGTAGAAATTGGAATTGTGGCCATGTATCTTTTGTATTGACGTTTTTAATTATTTGTATCAATACTTGGATTTTGGATGATTTCATTTGTTGTGTTTGCATCAATGTTTTTAACTTTTCATTTGGATATGTTTATCACTTTATCAGCTAATTTTTTGGAATTTAAATGTGCTTAGCAGTTTATTTTCTGGAATTTTCCTAATTAAACAAATGTGACATGAGAACCTGATTCTAACTCACAAACTTGAATCTAACATGTGACCCGTATAATTAAACAGGTTATGCAGGTCATGTATGAGTTTGGCTTATTCGGGTTAGGGTTTAAGCAAGACACACAAATATTTATATAAGTCTTGTGTGGATTAGAATTTTTAATCTATCATCCAGAACACCAACACGACAGTCACTCCTAATTTTCACATTCTTTTCTCCATCTACATCTCTTTTTTCCATATTTGATCAAATTAGTCTTTTCTCTTGTACTTATTAATTATCCACATTTATTATTAAGGTATTTGTCTAATTACCCACAAACAAAAAATCTCACATTTTAACCACCTATTATGAAAAAAAAAAAAAAAAAAAAAAAAAAACATCATTTAACTACCTAAGATTTTCGAAAATCATAGACTTCCAAAATGTAAAGATTTTTGTATATTTGTATTCCTTTCAAAGCGATCCCTTCCTATATAAGGTGTTGTCTTTTTCACAAGTTTCTCATTAGTTTGAAATTTCAACTTCGAAAATCATTATATTTTGTTTTCTTCATAATTTGTATTTGAAAACATATGTAGCGGTTACATTTTTGTAATTGTTTTTCACAAACAAATGTACATTTATCTTCGAAATAAGTGAACATTTTTGAAACACATGAAGTTAATATTTTCGAGAAAAACAAGAACTAGTTCGAAAATCTAGACAACTATTTTTGAAATACTATTTCTAACTTATGGATTCTGTCTTTTGGCAAAAAAAAAAAAAAAAAAGTTCCAGATTATATATACTCGGCACATTATCAAAACAAGATAAATAAAGCAAACTAATCAAATATTCATGTGTATGACATGAAACATTTAGGCTCACGGACCACCACTTACAATGAGAGTTACAGGTACTGATAGATCTTATTGTCGAAATTCTTTGTGAATCTAGGAGTTGAAATTGTTTTTTGGCAATATATTTGTCGAAATTCTGTCAATCTAGAAGTTGGAACTGTTTTTTGGCAATATATCGTCCTATCAGAAAGCTCTAGTATAAGTTGGATCCCAAGAGCTCTAGATAGGATCCATGGTAGAAAATCATTAATATTTTACTATCTATTTTTTAAAAATCTTTCAAGTGAAAGTGTATAAGAGACTAATCTTTCAAATAAAGGAATATCAAAAAGTATCATAGTAGACACTCAAGGTGTTTGGCTAATCTTTTCAAAAGGCAAAAAGACTTTTAGGAAAAATCACAAAAAATTAGGAATTCACTTTTCCAAAAAGTCAGTTTTTCTTATATCAAATTTCCAAAAATTGTTTTTCAAATACTTTTACCAAACATCTTTTCCTCCTATCTTTTTCTAAAAGTTCTTTTTATCCCTCAAAAAGATAGGCCAAACACCCCAACTATATTGAGTCTTTTATCAAGATTAAACTCAAACTTTTTTCCTAAAAAAACATTGCATTTTCCTTTTTTTTTTTTTTTTTTCAACTTGGCTCTTTTAGCAAAAGTTACAAGTAATCTTCTAGTTTTAGACAATTTTTTTTTTTTTTGAAAAAACTCTTAACTTTTTTTTTTTTATAGAAAAAACTCACATATAAAAAAATGAAATCTAGATGTGATTTGATCAATAATGATGTAGTTATATTCTTATGAGACTTAGTTATTATTTCCATTTGAACCAATTTTTTTATTTAAATTCTCATGTTTTTTTGTTGCTGTTTATAGTAATATTTTTAATGGTTTTTAGTATTAGGATCGGAAGAAAACGTTTAATTTGCTCGAAACAATGAGTAAGACTAATGTATCCAATTCTTGTTCGAAAAATGCATATCATAATCTATTTTATATACAAGATGCTCGGAGAATATAACATATGACAATGAAGAAGAGTCATCTTAGTTGGCTTGATATATTATATTGTTTTATGGACTAAATTGAAAGACAACTAACGAACACCCCAAATATGTTTAGAATATAATCTAAGCTTTCATCTTTTCCCGTTAGAAACATTGTCAAGCTAGACTAGACAACAACCACGCTATCTCCTCAACCATTAGTCAGATTCAGCCACGTTAAGAAGTTTTTTTTTTTTTTTTTTTCTATTTTTGGTGCCTTTATGCCATATTCCAACTTGTGGCAAATTTATAATTATGGATGACTATTTCATTCCACTCAAAATGTATATTATGTACAAAGTAATTGCAATTAAGCTGCAGACTAACACTCAACATAATAACAATATACAACATATTTATAGACTACTATGGGAATCATTTAATGAAAACGTCTACGAGCTGATAGCGTGATGAAAAGTGAGTATTAAATACGGGTGTGTAGTAGGGACGAGCTTTGGAACCGGACTGGAACCTAATCGGAACCGGAACCAGTCTTGCGAAATCATAAGAACCAGGAACCGAAACGTTGGTTTTGGTGCCGATACCGGTTCCAAATCTGGTTTTTCGGTTATTTTTTCAAACAAAAACCAGTTATAAATAAGGTGTAACTAATGATGATGCAATTCATAATACATGCACGTAGTTTAGTTGGATTCCAAAAATTAAAAGATAATTAAACTTTCATATTAAAAAAATGATAAAAACGTTGCATTAATATGTTGTGTTTCCGGACTGGTATCAGATTCAATATTTAACTAAACTACAATTTTTTACATTCTAAAATGAAGTACAAACACTAAATTGCATGTTGGAAAAAAATCAAGTAATTCCAACTTCATATGAGTGGGTTACAGTATTTTAAAAATTGAGACAAAAAAAAAAAAAAAAAAAAAAAAAAAAAAAAAAAAAACCGCAACATTGATATGTTGTCTTCCGGGCTTGTGTATGATTCAATATTTAATCAAAATATGTTCTTTTACGGTCTAAATAAAGTGCAAACACTAAATTACATGTTGAAAAAAAAATCAAGTAATTCCGACTTCATATGAGTGACTTATGATATTTTAAAAACCGGGACAGAATAAAAAACGTGTTGAAACAGAAGAAACGCAGCACTAATATGTTGTCTTTGGGGTTTGTATGTGATTCAATATTTAACCAAAATATGATTTGTTATAATCTAAAATGATGTACAAACACTAAATTAAATGTTGGGAAAAAAAATCAAGTAATTCTGACTTCGTATTAATGAGTTACGGTATTTTAAAAACTGTAACAGAATTTAAAAAAAAAAAACCTATTGAAACATAAAAAAATGCAACATTGATATATTGTCTTCCAAGGCTTGTATATGATTTAATATAACCAAAATATGTTTTTTATAGTTTAAAATGAAGGGAAAACACTAAATTACATTATGGAAAAAAATCAAGTAATTTCGACTTCATATGAGTGAGATACGAAAATTTAAAAAACGGTTCCAAATTTTTAACCGGTTTTTCGTAGAACCGAACCGGTTTTGCTATAAGTTAGGAACTGCTAACAAGAACCATTTTATTAAATGCGGTTCCGGATCGGTTCCACTTCTAATGCACATCCCTAGTGTGTAGTCCTATATCGCTCAACAAAAATAACTATTATCCCCAAATTAAACTATCTACCTTAATAATATATTATTCTTTTAAATAAGTATTAGTGATTTTTTTTTTATTAATCGCTAATATTAATGATTATTATGTAGTGTAACGTGGGTCACTATGATGTAATTTATAATCATGGTAGTTTTACAAGAAACTGATTGATATATAACAAATTTTTTAATATATACAAGAATTTATACATTAAAGTATTATATTGTACAACTCCAAAAAATATTAATTATTGTGTATAGAGAAAAATCATTTGATCCCTATATATGATAACTTAAAAATAAAAAACACACAGCATTTGGCCATAATTGAACAGGAATTGTGTGTGCTTTTTATTTATAGGTAATTAAATGTATATTCTAAATAAAAGTTCAGATTCTTAAAAGAAAATAATCAAAATCCGACCCTACCGTCCTCTATGTCCTTCTATATATAACGTATAAGATAACCAAAATTTTGTTCTCCTCAAAAACGAGATAAAAGAAAACATTAAATACAAAACTATTTAAAAACATTTGGCCAAATATATGTTTACAAAGTTGGTTCAAGAAC